TTAGCTCGTGTTGATTGCATCGAACTATTTGTGGCTAGATTCGAGGCATTTAGAGGCCGATTCGCGAGGCAAGGGCGTGGTTGAGTAGGGATTTGCACGGCTTGAGGTAAGTAACAGTTCTAAACTTGGTTCTGAGGGTATGAAATCCCGAATTACGTATCATGTGATTGGTGTTGAGGTAACGCACATGCTAGGTGATGGGCGTGTGGGCGTGCACCGTAGTAATTGTGACTTGGTCAACTCCATGGAACTGTATAGTTGAATAATCTGTTGTTATCCGTATATTCTCCATGTGTTATAGAAATTGGATGGCAAATCATGTTAGAAATTATGCTTAGGCTATGTGTTGATACTGCAGGGACCTACAGAGGTCGTGTTACATGTTAAATTATCTTCTAAATTGCTACTTTGTACTCAGTCACAGTTTTTACTTGCATATTATATCTCAGTCTCTGTTGTTCTTTATTGATACATTACATCATCATTGTTTGGGCTGATTATCATGGTTATTGAGAGCCCGAGAGACTGCTGAGGTTGAAGACTGAGTAAGGCCGAGGGCCTCATTGTGTGGATATTTATTGGGATCGGACTGAACGCCGCAGTATGTTTTATTGATTAATACCAAGAATGGCTTATTATAGTGCTTGGCTTTAAGGAGCCCCTGCGGTCTGCACACCCACAGGCCACAGTGAGCGAAGATACCTAGTGAGTGCGAGTGCGATTTCCGAGCGCGAGTGCCGAGCGACTGGGAGAATTGAAAGACTGTAAGGAATGAGTGAGTGTGAGGTTGGAGTGATTGGGAGGTCTGAGTGACTGTTACTCTGAGATTATGCACTTGATTTCATTGATGTTGTACTTCAGCTGGCATATATCACTGTCATTTAGTCTCTAAGAGATACTATATCCTGTTTCAATTGAACTTGACATGAATTAACTATTTTGGCTCTAATGTCGAACTTGAAAGCATGTCTATTTTCCTGTATTATATTTTCTGTAATTGAACTGTATCTGTGAAGCTCGTCACTACTCTCAGTCCAATAGTTGGTCTTGTTACTTACTGAGTTGGTTGTACTCACGCTACACTCTACACTTCATGTGCAGATTCGGGTATTTCCGGACGCGGTAGGTGCTGATTATCTGAGCAGCTTGATCATTCGAAGATTTCGAGGTAGCTGCCCAGCATTCGCAGCCCTTGACTCCCCCTCCCTATCTTTCAGCTTTATGTATTTAATTTCAGTTTTTCATAGACAGTATTTTCAGACTCGTGTTGTATAAACGCTCATGTATTCAGTGACACCCTGATTTTGGGAACTTCCGTATTGAGTTTTGACACTATCCAGTTTATGAGAGCTTTAATTATTTAAACATGTGTTATTTTATTCTTCCTTTAAAAGTGTTGGAAATGTTTTGAGGTGCCGTCTTGCCTAGTACCATGTTAGGCGCCATCAGGACAGGCTAAGTTTTGGGTCGTGACAATTTCATCTTTAGAAAGTTAGAAGAGTTTCCTTCTTTGATGAAGTTTTAAACCCGCACCAGCATAAATTTTAAATGTTTTTATTTTGATCCGCCCTGCAACCGCATATGTTTAAACTCGCACCGCCCCACATGTGTCTAAACCCGTACCACCTTGCACTCGCACCGCCTCATTGACATCCCTACATATCAGAATATCTTCAAACTTTAAGAAAGAAACCAAATAGTCACGCAGTCTCTTTGAGTTAAATAATTGTTTCATTGACTATATATTTCACTTTCAATGTTCTTAATAGAAAATTTGTACGTATATATTATTCCATCCGTTTTAGTTTATGTAATACACATTTCTTATTAGTCCTTTCAAGAAAAATGATATAATTTTATATTAAAAAATAATTAAATTTTAATGTTTTATTTTACCGATAGTAAGAAGTTTTTATAGCTATTCCTCACAATGCTTTTACTCTTTAAGCTTTTAAAATCATAAATATTAGAAGTCTTTTTTTCTTAAATTCCAAGCCAAGTTAAATTACCGCACATAAATTAAAACCGAGAGAGTAATTTTTATGAAGTTTCAAGGTGAAGGACTTCTCTTTTCGGCAAAAAGAAAGAGCAAGAATCACACAGCCTCCTTTATTATTATTATTATTATTATTATTATTATTATAAAGAGCCAAATAGTTGTTTCATTGACTGTCATATTTAACTGTTTTTTTTTTTGGTTGGATCATATTTAACTGTTGATGCTTTTTATTATAGAATGTCACTCGCTCCTTTCATTTTTAGTTATTCCTTTTTGACTTCGCACTTTCTTTAAGAAGAAATACATAAAATATGTATTCCCTCAATTCATTTTTATTTGTTCACTATACAAAAAATATATTTTCACTTTTACTTGTTTATTATATTAAATTAAGAGAAAGATAAGTATTTTCCTGTTTTACCCATATCATTAATTATTCATTCCCCAAATCATTTGACAAGACTTTTAAAAATGTTATCATTACTATAGATAAAATTGTGAAATACTCCTTCAGTTCACTTTTACTTGTCCACTATACTAAAATATATTTTTATTTTTACTTGTCCACTTTACTAAATTAAGAGAAAGACAATTTTTTTCTTTCTGTTTTACCCTTATGATTAAGTACTCATTCCCCAAATCATTTTCCAACACTTTTTGAAATACCGGTAAAATTATCAAATATATACTTCATTTATTTTTTCTTAAAGAGAGTGCAAAGTCAAAAGTGGACAACTAAAAATGAACGGAGGTAATATATACTTCATTTATTTTTTCTTAAAGGGAGTGCAAAGTCAAAAATGGACAACTATTTTATAATTTTCTCATAATTATAATAGTTTTTCAAAAGGTCCTGGGAAATAATTTGGGGAATGAGTAGTTAATGATAATGGTAAAACATGAAATAAAGATTATCTTGCTCTTGATTTGCTAAAATTGACAAATACTCCGTCCGTTCACTTTTACTTGGTACGTTTTGACTTTTCGCGCCCCTTATGAAATAATAATTGAAGCGCATAATTTACCATGATGCCCATATTAATTGATGCATATTTTATTGGATTTGAGAAAATGATTTGAAATGAGTAATAAATACTATGGGTATAACAAAAATTTTTTTTTGTCTTCTCTTGATATGCGTATAGTAACAAGTAAAAATGAAAATCTATTTTTAGTATAGATGTCAAGTAAAAGTGAACACAGGAAGTAAAAGTGAATAGAGAGAGTAGTAAATATACTTTTATGATGTTTCAAGCGGTGAACTTTTTATTTTTATTTTTAGAAAAGGCAAGAATCAATGTGTTCATTAGCACTGAAAACTAGATCATTAAACACACACAATTCAAATCCTGCCAATATGACTTTCAAACAAAAAATCTTAAACCTCTCTCTAATAAGTATACCACGATTCAACTTCTATTAAAAAACATAGTAGCATGATTGAGCCATTTAAGTTGTATAATAATTGTTTGAATATAAGTTACATACATACACAGCATTATTTATATCAGTAGAAATCAATATAATATAATTATAATCTTAAATAAATTATTTACAGTTAACTTTTAAATAATCTAATTATATAAAGCATGGTCGATAGTCCATAGCGCCGGCCATAATCTAATGTAAACGTCAATGCATTATCCAATAGAGAGGTTGGGGCGGCTATGGACATTTCCATACCATTGCCTCATATATACTTTTTCCCCATCTTTTCCTACTTTTGACTTCCAAGGCTATTGACTAATTCTCAATTTAGAATAAGATTGCATCACATTCATTGCACCGCCTTTTCTTACTTCTTCACAATGAGTGTGCAATTAGGCCTGCCTTTAGCACTTGTAATTGTCTCCTTTCTTCCTGTATTTGTTTTGTTTTTTCTCTTATTTGGCTAGTCGTTATCACTTTAATTACTTTCTAGGATATAGTCTCTATTTTCTTAAAAGATCAATGGAAAACAAAATCAACAGAATCACAAAACTATGAAGATTATAAATTACATCAAGAATTCTTAGAGTTATGTTCTTGGAATATCAAAGAACTACGAATTTTAAATATCAAACTTTTGCAAAAAAAAAAAAAAAAATGTGTATTTGGAAGTAGCTAGGACAGACGATGAGAAAATTTAAAACCCTTCTTAAGACTTAGGTTGTACCACAAGTAGCTAGGTTGTGAGAAAAACTCTTCTAAAGAGTTAAGTTACTACAATGTACGTATCTCATAAGTATTGACAACTACAATGCTGTAATCCAAAGTAAAAAGAGAGTATTACATTAAGAACAGTACCAGACTAAGGAAGAAAAGCGACAAGCGGGGAAAAAACAAAACTAAATTTCCTTGGTTTCAGTCAGCCCAGAGTAAAAGTAAGACGAGAAAAACAAGTCACGCTTCTATTATCAGCTCTAGGCAATCGTCCAAATTCCAAAAAGGTTAAATGAGATAACTACTAATCCACTATTTCTTTAATGGAGCAAACAAAATACTTAATCAAGTCTCAAGAGATTGGTATTTCACCTTTTCTTGGACTTACATTTCCCAGTTCTTTCCATTTTAACAACAACGACAACAAACCCAGTATAATCCCACAAGTGAAGTCTGAAGAGGATAGTTTGTACACAGACCTAACCCTTACCTTTGGGAAGGGTAGTATGTACACAGACCTTACCCCTACCTTTATAAAGGTAAAGAGGCTGTTTCCGATAGACCCTCGGCTAAAGAAACACTAAAAGTTCTTTTCATTTTATGATAAGCAAAAAATACACACAAATATGATTACATTTCTCAATTCTTGTGTAATTTATGGGTTTAAGTTATATGCATAAATAGTGTAAGAAATTTGTATACTATCGGCACAAACACACTGCTCATGCACAAGCATTACCGCATAATTGTGGAGGACCAGTGTCAGCAAAAATCGCCAAGAATGCGATTGAATAATCAATTTCATCTCCATGTCTACTTATTCATACAAACAATTGAACTACAAAGAATTATAGGGAAGTGTAACTTGATAACTTGGCTCTTGAATTAGAGGACCATATTTCATTATTTGTCTCCCTGTTACATATTCTATAGTGATGCCATTAAAGCAGACATCACTTTTCAAAAATCAAAATATTTTGAATGAGCAGAATTCTTCCACCCTGTCCAAGTTTTTTCTCTAGCTCTCTTTCTCTGCTTATCACTATCCTTTCATCAACAAGATGGTGAATATGGAAAAAAGAATTCAAAAAATGGGAAAACTTGTTAGATATTACTTCAAGAACGAATGAGCCCGAATCCGATCTTCACCATTAATGCACAATCTGCTCCTGCTCCATGTATAGCTGATCCGCCCATGTTGGAATCGTCTCAGAACCTCGACTAGCATTCAGATGATATTGCTGATCTTCCCTAGATAATTGTCTTGAACTCATAGCAGGGGAATCCTTCACCATAGACTGGACCCGAGAGACATCAGGCTCAGCAGAAGAGTTTAAATTGAGGATTCACTCATAGCAAACCTACTGCCGCTGCTCCGTAAACCAAAGGAAGCAGATTTTCTCAACTTATTGAGCTCTTCCTTCTGGATGCCCCAGTCCAATTTACCATCAGGGGATCCCCAACCTGAGAGGTTAGGAAGCACAGCGGACGCATTAGAAAGGGATGAAGATATCCCAGAAAGACGGCCTGCAGCACTTCGATCGATGAAACTCTGGCTTCGCTTGGCAAATGCAGCAGACCTTGAACTCAAAGCTGCTGCTGCAGCACCAGATGGATCAATCCCAAACGAAGATGATGTCCTAAAAGATGGTGAAGATTGACCGGAAGAATAGCCTGTCATAAGTTGCTGGTTCATATTTTGTCGCATCTGCATCCCTTTGGGAGATTGTAGTTGGGGTGATCCAGCATCAAGTGATAGCCCTTGTAGCTGAGACAAAATTTTGGAATCAAGGGTCGCTAAGATATCATCAAGATTAGTGGGGTTCAATCCACCATGCCTACCAAATTCACCGTTTCTATCACTAGAAGAAGCTGCAAAAGCAGCAGCTTTGGCCGAAGAACTGTTCCACCCAGATGGTGAAGAAAGAGCAGATAAGTCATCCATCAGTTGATCTTGTCGCAGATGATGACTATCGAATCCAAGTAAACCATTATCTAACTCCACGTCTCTGGCACTATATGTGGTTTTCAACCGACTAATAGGCAGCTGCAAGGTTGGAGTTGCAAGGCTGGATTGGCAGGGCCACAAAGATCCACCCACAGAAGAAGCTCCAGCCGAAGGAGACATAGGTGGAGTTGAAGTAGGAGGCATCATAATTGATGGAGAACCAAGGGCTAGTGGAGAAATTGATGCGATATCCAATGACAGAGCACTATTGGAATATGATCTAGGTGAAAGCACAGCAGACCCTGTAGAAGGGTACAAGGGGCGAAGCTCTTCAGGTTTGTGGGCAAAGAAGCATACCCTCCTATTGCAATTTGTTTCATCCTTGCACATACGAGTTCGGTACTGTGCAGGGTGAAGCCAGCACTCAAAAATACCATGCGCATACTCACAAGTGTCTCCTCGCTGGCATGTCCCCTTGCGAAAATCTGGACAAGGGACACAACTATAGTGGTATTTTCTAGGGTCACGCCTTCTGGCGTTTTCACCGGGGTGTACAAAGGGGCACTCTGTCCAGTCATGGGAGTAAGCTCTTGAGCATGGTTTCACCTTAAATATGTACATTCTGAAGTCATCTGTCCCATATATCCCAATCTTTATGTCTGGAAGAGAGGGATCAACAGGATACTCTTTCTTCTCGCTCCCAAATTTAGAGATGTTTGGAGTCAATAACAGCTGTTCTTCTGCTTGTTCAGAGATAATCTGATCGATAAGTCCACTTGCTTCCCCGTCGTCGCTGCTTCCTCCAAGCAAGTACTCCAGTATCTTCCTCCTAGAGTTGAGACAACAGCCCTGAGCTGAGATCAGGTCAACAGCCCGTTTTCCATTTGCATCTACTAAATTCACATCAGCAGAAGCACCAAGCAAGAGCTTGACAACCTCAAGCAAAGCAGCAGAGTCACCAGCAATTGCGCAGTGAAGGGCTGTAGCCCCATCGGAACCACAAGCTTGATTAACATCAAGACAGCCCTTCTCAAGCATATAATTCAGCACCCGTTTGCTACCAAAGGTAGCAGCAATCATAAGGGGTGTCCTCTCCTCATATCCCATATTCTTTATACCAATTCTCCTACCATACCATAAACCCACCTCATTCATGTCATGACCCTCCTCTTCTACAGCCTTTTGGAAGTTGATAATATCATCTGAAGCCGATAACTCGAGCAAAAGGGAGAAAGAAGGGACAAGATCCTTTTGCTTCTGAATTTCAGCTTCCATGGCTAAATCAGCAGAACAGACCTTACTCTTAGAACCACTACACATGATATGGTCTGTACTTCTCTACAACATCGTACAAGAGACACATTCAGTACAACATATTATCTAATTCACAAAAATAACCCAAAAAACGAAGTGCAGCAAGCCCAATATTCCAACTTGTCTAATGTTAATGAAATTTCAAAACCCCATATAACATAAAAGCAATAAAGAAAGCTAGATAAACATCAAATTTTAATCATTAGCATGAGATGCTATATACTAGAGACATGTTTATAAGAAAAACCCCAACTGGACTACAAATTCTAGCAGTAAAGTATCATTCTTGAAATAAAGGTTCCCTTCCTTGAGCACTGTAAGTGAAAATTTTGCGAATTTGCAGATAGTATGAACGATAAAGCAAACATTTTTACAACTACCATGAATCTTTCTTGAGATCCTTATTATGGTACACCCCAAATAGAAAGCCAAGAACTAATTGCAGACAATTAAAAATTCTATACATGAACAAGTAGAGTGATCCAACTAGTTAATACTAATAGTAATACAAACTAAGAATAAAAAAAAGAGAAGCATACCTCAAGTCTTGAAGAGAGAGAGAGAGAGAGAGAGAGAGAGAAAGGAGGGGTTTTAAGCCCAGGTTTTGTGCAGAGAGAAAGGAGCAACACACCAACAAGAAATGAGTTGCTAATGGACGCAACTGGAATGCCTCCTTTTAACTATACACAAGATTAACATACGACCTATCAATAGAAAGGGACAGGTGGAGAGAGAGAGAGAACGCAAATATTGAATTATGTACAGTAATTAAATTAAGGAAATGGAAGAAGAAATTTCTTTTCCCTCTCGTGACCTCACTTTTTCAAAATGAAAATGAAAATGAAAATGAAGATGAAATGAAATGAAAATGCAAATGCTAGATGAAATGCAAATTCAGAAAAAGGTGGGTTTTGGCCTAAAACAAAACTCCACATTGACTTCATTCGGGGGTTTATTAAGTTGTACAATTTTAAAAAATTATATTATAATATAATTTAAGAAAAAAAATAAAAAATAGCTTGATTTACATCTGCTAATTGAAAATTAGTCACATTTTAAAAAGTAATCGAAATTTAACAATTTTTTTATGTAAAAATAAAATATGAACAAATACATCCTTTAAAATCTGGAAATATTCCAGCATAATATGCCGGAGTTTGAATATTTTACATATGAGATTTCAGCATAATGTGTTGGAATTTTATAATGTGTTAGAGTTCCAACATTATATGCTGGAAGTTTATATGCAAGAACTCCATAATCCAGCAATATTATATTGGAGCTTTTTGTGTTCAGCTAGAATAATTTTGTCCAGATTTTATCCCCGCATAAAATAGGGGCTATTTTTTAATGACTTTGAAAAATGCTGATTATTTTTTAATTATTAGTTCAAAAACTGGCTAGCCCATATTATTTTCACTATAATTTAACGATTATGAAAAACATTCATCTTCGTTTTCAATCAAGTTGTAATATTAATCATATATAAAATTACTTTAAATAGTATAAATATTTGGGCTTGATGTATGAATTTAAGTGGCATATCTTGATAATTTAAAGAAAATTTACACTTTCAGTATAATTTTATAGATTATAACATATTATTTACTTTTTTTTGGTTTCCAATCAATAGTTATACTGAAAATTACTTGTAGCTGCTCTGAGCTACTTGATAGTTTGAATACATTTTTAGTATTATGTTGCAAAGAATATAAACGTAACATATACAATGTGTTTGAAGATGTCTAGCACAATTTAAGTCATTGTGAAGTCAATTCTATATTAATTATATAAGTTGGTAACCTAAAGAATAAGGTTGATAACAAGCTTATAAGTAATAAGTTAAACCTTGGAAATACCAACTTATTTAATTTCTAAGTATTATAAGGATCATCGATGTTTATAGCTGTATCAAGGCTATTTTAAGTATAAATTCAATTTTTCCTTTCCTTGTATATCCTAATGTAATTAGTAGCTGTATAGGGTTAAATTTGACCGTCGGCGTCTCTACGCCAATGGGTACGTCCAGTGAGTATACGCCAACTAACGTAAGGGTACGACTCGGACGTGGGGACAGAAGCGACATCGTTTAGGACTCAGTGTCTTCACTAGGAAAACGTTACCTATTTTTGTAACTTTTTGATTATTTCGAGGAAGGTCTCTTACTATATAAGGGAGACATTCACATTGTAAAGAGGAGGACTCTGGAATAATACAACTCTCTCATTTTCTGACTCTCTCTATCTCTGTCTCAAGCGAACATATTCTCTTGAGTTCATATTATCACTGTATAATACTAGATCTACAACAATAACATCATCTTTACATCTCTAGGTCTACTATATTTGATTATGATTTACCCCTCCCTTACTTTTGATTGTTTTCTAGCTTACAAAGTATATTGTTAAATTTTGAGCCAAACAATTTGGCGCCGTCTGTGGGGATTTCGAGAATCAAAATCATAGTATCCACCTAGAGATCAACCAACTACCACTCTCTACACCACACAAAAACAGAAGATGGCCGAAAATAACACAAGATCGAAAGCTATATTGGGTGTCACTACCAATCTCCTTGGCCCTCTCAACGAGGCCAGTGATGATGGCATCTTGAATGCAACCCCTAGCATCACACCGGGTGCAGAGATCTCACCTTCCCCATCCGAAGATCTGACGATCTTGCACGAAAAAGGAGCTTCCACATCTGCGGCTACGGAAGCACCCTCAGCGGTCAAGAAGCTACTGGAAAGATGGCTAACAAGCACTCTAAGTGGCTTGGTCGAGAGGTCACAACAAAGTAACATCAGATGTACACCAACGGTAGATACCACTGCTGCCGTGGGTGAACCGGAAGTTGCACTAGCAAATAACAAACCCATCGAGACACTGACCAACGATGGCACGCTAACAGCCATCCTAAAAAAGATGGAAGAAATGGAAAATGAAAACAAGGCGCTCCGCGATCAGATGAAGGAACATAAGGAGGGGGTAGACAAGATCCCCAGCGCTCCCAAGTTGCTAGCAAAACGCGACGTGGGGAGGTTCGTTGAACAACCATACACTGAAGAAGCTGCCCCTCACCCTATCCCAAAAACCTTCAAGATGCCACCCTACTTGAAGGTATATGACGGAACCACAGATCCCGAGGATCATTTAATCCACTATGTCACTGCTGTAAAGGGCAACGACCTATCAAAAGAGCAGGTACCATCGGTGCTGCTAAAGAAGTTTGGTGAGACGTTGACAGGAGGGGCCCTAACGTGGTACTCTCAGCTACCAGCTAAGGCGATATCAACGTTCGAGGAAATGGCGGATAAGTTCGTCACCGCCCATGCAGGTGCAAAGAAAGCGGAAGCAAGGGTCAACGACATCTTCGCCGTTAGGCAAACCACAGGGGAGGGACTCAGGGACTTCCTAGCCAGGTTTAATAGGGTAAGGATGAGTCTACCAAACGTATCGGAAGGTATGACAGTCGCCGCTTTCCAGAACGGGCTAAACAGGAATGGTTCGAGGGCAACCAAGAAGCTACTAAGCCGCCTCATGAAATATCCCCCTACCACATGGGAGGAAATCCACAACGCCTATTGCGCTGAGGTACGAGCGGACGAGGATGATCTTAATGGGCCGACCCAACGGCTAACAACGATACACTCAGAAACAAGGAGGGATCGACGCAATGAAGGACGGCGAGAACAACTCCCCCGCTCCAACAAAGACCGACACCAGCCATACACCAGATCCTCCCATCCACCACCAAGGCATACGGATGCGCTACAGCGACACGTCGCCCCACTCCGAAACGAAAGAGGTACGCCTCCTTTATTATCCGCCCATAACTTTTGTGTGTCTCCTTCAGAAATAGTGTACGCACTAGAGAAGCTGGGCACCAAACTGTAGTGGCCGCAGAAGATGAAATCAGACCCCGCCACAAGGAAATCAAACGTCCTATGTGAGTTCCATCAGGAACGGGGGCACAAAACCGAAGACTGCATAGGCCTACGGCAAGAGGTGGTCAGGATGCTCAACCAGGGATACCTGAGGGAATTACTCAGTGAAAAAGGGAAAATCAATTTTGCCCGCGGATGGGAACAACCCCACGGGCCGCCGAAGCCGCCCTCCCCAGCATGCACGATAAACATGATCGTCGGAGGCGGCGACGACTTGGCGATCAATCACGTGAAGTTCACCACCACGCACAAACTAAAGCGGACAATCGCCCATGAACGGTATGACGACTTTGAAGATAGTATCACCTTCGATAAGTCTGATGCCGACGGTTTGTCTTTCCCTCATTACGATGCTTTAGTTATCACTTTACGTATCGCTGATACAGATGTTAAAAGAATCATGATCGATGACGGAAGTGGTGCCTGTATTATCCACCCAAGGGTCCTCGTACAAATGGGACTCGAGGATAGGGTAATACCGCGCTGCATAACACTAACCGGTTTTAACAATGCAGTGGAACGGACGTCCGGAGAAATAGCACTGCCCGTCTTAGCAGGAGGAGTCACGCTGGAAACAACTTTCCACGTGATGAACCAAGAAACGGCGTACAACGTCATCATAGGATGCCCGTGGATACACGCCATGCGAGCGGTCCCTTTAAGCCTTTACCAAGTGATCAAATTCCCTAACCCATGGGGAGTATTCAGTATTCGAGGCGAGCCACGCACCGCACAAGAATGCTACAAAATAGCCCAAGACTGCGCCCACACCCAACAGCTAAAGGGGGCGAGCGCGGAGGCATAGCAATTAGCCGTGTCGGGGACTAAGGTCAACCCGACAACGGACGCCATCAAAGACCCCGACGTTGTAGAGGCCTGTAAAGCGACGGTCGAAGATCTCGACCCAGTCCAATTGGACGAAACCAATCTTACGAAGAAAGCCTATATCGGGCACGGTCTCGCCAACCCAAGTAAGTATCGTGAATTCTTAACTAACCATGCAGATTTGTTCGCTTTTTCCCATTCAGATATGCCGGGAATCCCGCGAGACATCGCCACCCACAAGCTGAATGTAGATCCACTACATCCGCCCGTGCGACAGATGAGGAGAAAATTCAACGCCGCTATCAAAGAAGCGGTCAGTGAGGAAGTAGACAAGTTACTGGCCAACGGCTCCATCAGAGAATCAAAATACCCCCAGTGGGTCGCCAATGTCGTCATGGTCAAAAAGAAAAATGGGAAGTGGAGAATGTGTGTGGATTTCACTGATCTAAACAAAGCATGCCCAAAGGATTCATTCCCACTACCCCACATCGACCAAATGATCGACGCCACTGCAGGACACGAACTACTGAGCTTCCTAGACGCCTACTCCGGCTACAATCAAATCATGATGGCCGAGGAAGACCAAGAGAAGACAACTTTCATCACCCACCAAGGGACTTACTGCTACAAGGTAATGCCCTTCGGGCTCAAAAATGCAGGGGTTATGTACCAGAGACTGGTCACCAAAATGTTCAAAGAGCAGCTCGGTAAGACTATGGAAGTCTATATCAACGACATGCTGGTAAAGTCGACAAGAAAAGAGGACCACATCGACCATCTGAAAGAAGCATTTGAGATATTGAGAAGGTACGGGATGAAACTGAACCCCGAGAAATGCGCCTTCGGCGTGGCCTTAGGAAAATTCTTAGGGTTTCTCGTATCACAACGAGGTATCGAAGTCAATCCAGATCAGATCAAGGCGATAGACACAATACCCGAGATACTGAACAGCAAAAAGCAAGTGC